GCTTCCATTGTCCGCAACTGGCCCAATCTGGCACAAACCAGCTAAATCCCGCTGAATCGAGTAGAATAACTATTTGGCTTCATTCGGCAAGTGTCCTTGGGCCCTCGTTGAAATCGAAAAACTGTGGGGGCCTCGTTCAGGGTGAAAAGTGTCCTGCCGAAGGACCCAACCATATGATGGCCTGAGTACGGTCGGACCGAGGTATAAGATCGAGTTCTGCTCGGGGAGGGTACCCCAATGTTCTGCGCATCCGAGAAGAGGGCACCTTCGATTGTTTTCCAGTTTGAGCCAGCAGAGGGTCGCATGTTCTTGAAGGATGTTGTTCTGTCCGAGGTCCGACCGTATCGCAAAGAAAGCGGGACGAAAGAGGGAGATTTCCGAGCTCCCTTTTTGGCCTCGACACTTGTGAGGGGTGCGTCGACATGGGACGGGGCCGCCACGCGGGCGCTGCCATTGCGGGCTCCCGTGGAGCTTCCCATGGGACCACGAGGCGCGTGAGGTGTGCACGCGGAGAGCAGCGGCAGGATGGGGAGGAGGCCGAGGAGGGGGGGCGCAGGGCGCCGTCTTCTCGAAGCGGGAACCCCACTCCACAGGACTGTTCGGGAAAGCTGCGCAGACTCTTCGCGAAGTTCTTGGATCGCCACCAGCCCCCCTCCCCTTGCGCTCGGAGCGCGCCAGGGAGGGGGTCCATCGCCGGTCCAAGAACTTCGCGCGGAGCTCCGAAAACTTATGCGTATGCATGGTGTCCCCGTCGATGAGTGTCCTCGTCGCCGCAGCTGGTTGCAGTTCGAAGAGGTGGTCTGAAGGGTCTCCGGGAGGGGTTATCTGGATGGGCGGCAGGGCGGGGGGTTGCTTGGCCTCCCGAGAAGGCTCTCGCTCAGAAGCCCTCCCGCCCTCGGGAGGACCCCCTGCCAGAGGCCTTCGGGCAGGAGGCCGTCAGGGCCCCCTTCAGAAGCCTTGAAGCCTGCAGGGCCTTCAGAAGGGGGCCTCCCAGGCCCTTCTCAATCGGGCGAAGAGAACTATGCACATGCACCGATCCTGGCAAGGCCCATCCTTGACCCAGGATCGGATGTCTTCCTGGCCAAGGTAGGAGGGCGTATGCACCGATCCTGGGCTCAGGATGGGCCTGGCCAGAATCGGTGTATGTGCATAGTTCTTTTTCCTCTATCTCAAGGCCTGGATGGGGGCCCGAGAGCGAACCAGAGTGGAGCATCGAAAACAGCTGTTCAGATGCTCTTTTCTGGTCAGCTGTTTGGGCCGTCGGGAGGCCCCCCACGGGCCCTGTGGAAAGCCATGTCGGGCACTTCTGGCCCGAGATATCACGATGTCCGCACATGTTTCGCTCGAGCAAATAAGTTGGTTTCAGGTGTAATTCTGAACTGGTGTGGTTTTCTGACTCAGGCCGCGGGGTGCGTCGCGCGCTTTGGCGCGCGGCGGTGCTGAGTCAGGGTGTCCGTTTGGCGCGGTCGTGCGAGCACGTATTGTGCATATTTACGCGTGTTGCATTTACATATTTCGTTGAGGGCGCCCTGTACGTTAGCTTGATTGGGCTGTCCCATCATGGATTCCACCATGTGTTCTTAAGATATGCGCTCACTTGAGGATCACTGTATTTCCATGTCTTCTCCCATTCGCCACAACCCCGAAAACGCAGTGTCGGGTGAGCAGGCCGTGATTCGGGGAATCCTGTTTTCAGCGGCACCCCCGAGTCTTCTTTCCCAAGGGGAAACGAAACCAGCACGAAAACGAAGAGCACTGCTTAAGCCGATCCCTGGTACGTCTCGCTTCTTCTTCCTCCTCCAGACGCGGCCCCTGGACCCAGCGCCTGGTACCGCCCGATCGCCGAGCTGCGCCCAGCCGCCGAGGGCGGCCGGAGGGGCACAGGCGCCCGCCGAGGCCGAGGCCCCTCCCTCCCCCAGGCCGAGGCCCAGGCCGAGGCCGAGGCCGACGAGAGGGCAGGCCAGGGGAAGGAACGGGGGGACGGAATCCGCTGCATGCAGCTGGTTTCCGCCCCGCCGCCGGGCCCATTCCTCGATGTACATGGACGCCTCCCGGCGCCGGTCCGCCTTGCCTTCTGCTGTCCTACCCTTTCGGCCCCCCCGACCCCTGTTATTGCCCGCGGCTCGCCTAGAGGTGGGCCCTGCCGCGTGCCTCGCCTTCGGTGGGACTGCCGCCCAGCCTCCGTGCAGGGACAGCGCCAGGGGTGGGGGGACTCGGCTCAGGGGAGGGGCCAGATCTCCAGCGGCGCGTTTCTGTTCCATCGGGGCTAGATCCGGGACAAGAAGGCACCCCCGGGGAAAGGGAAGGGGCCCCTGGGGCCGCGCATCGAACAAATCACGTCGAGATTGGCTGGGAACGCATCGGACCCTCAGCCGCGCATTCATCGCCGACACGGGCTCGATGGGCCACCTCGCCCAGGAACGCACGGATTCCCCGTCGGGGGCCTTCCGATCAGTCGGCGATGCATCGGCAGTTCCAGGTCGATGTTTCTCCCCCTGAGCCATTCCCCCTTCTGTCGTTCCCCCTCATCAATCCTAAAGGAGGATTGAGAGCGCGCCGTGGCCGCCGTCACTAGTTAGACGCCAGGACGGCGGTCCAGTCAGATTGGCCCTCTTTCGCTACCCCTCGTCCGCACCAGACTGGATAGGGGCGTTTGGGCCCTGCTCCATCATCGCTGCTCTCTCCTGATCCTGCGATCCCAGCGTTCTTTCTCCCCATCTTCCTCACCTTCCCCGTCCTGACCCGCTGTGGAGATAGGTTGATATAAGTGGTCACGATTCTGTTACAACCCTACTGGAGTTTCAACACTACTAGAGTTTCAACCCACAACACGATTATACAATTATACTTCTGCAACGGCGGGAGAACAGCTAAACTGCAATAAGCGACTAGAGCTAAGCGCTTGACATACACGTACACGAATATAAATACCTGTCTTAATGTATTTGGGACCTTGGTAGCAATTCGCTAGAACTTCGACTCTATGTATACCTACTAGAGCTGCACGTTCTGTGTCCTTTGCTGTTTGTTGTTTAATGTGTAGTGACGCGCCACTGCAGCTACAAACCTTACATCACCGTATCCAATATACATTCATAATTCTATGATGAATCGTGGCCTCCAGCCCGTCCCGCCACCGCGCTTGGGTTGTAGGTCAACGACCTCATGGATGCTTGTAGGGATTGCCTGAGAGGCCTCTCGGAACTCTATTGGGGGCGTTTTTGGGGGTGTCTTGGGGCCTCTCGGGGGCCTCTTTGGGGTTTCTTGGGGCCTGATTTGTGCCTCCTTGGAACCGCCTGGGGCTTCTGGGGCCTCTTGGAGGCCTGCCGGTGGTCTCGGGGGTTGCCTTGTAGCGGAAGGCGCTGAATGTCAGTTCAGATTGCCCCTCGCAGGGCCCTCTCTTCGGGCCGTCGTTTGGCATATTGCGGGCCTCGCTGGCCGTCTGGGGGTCCTCTTTGGCCGCTTGGGGGCCATCTTGGGGACGTCTTGGGCCGTCTTGAGGCGATCTTGCCCGCGGACCCCCCGGGAGCCCTCGAGAGCTTGAAAATCAACCCTCCGTGGGCGCCACAATGCCCAAGATACGTTCAAGATGGCTCCAGAAGTGCTCCAACGCGGCAGAGAGGCTTGAGGAATGCCCGAGATAGCCTCAAGACGGCCCAAGACACCGAAAGAGGGCCCCAAGAGGACCCCCAAGAGGGAATCAGAAGACAGAAGCCGCTGATTTTCCGTATGCTTTTGAATCATTTTGGCGTTTTCGATTGCGCGGGCGTTTGCCAGCCCAATACGGCGCGAGAGGTCCCCCAGACCGCCCAAGACGGCTCAAGAGGCCTCTCGGGCGGTCTTGGAGAGTCGGAAGCCTGAAAAGGGGAGAATTCTTTAAAATCGCTCGAACACCTAAGGGCTATGAGTGATCCTCGCCCCTCGGGCTCCTCATGGGGCGCCTCTAGGAGCTCTCGTGGGGCGTCTTCGGTGCCTGTTGGGCCGTTTGGAGGCTATCTTGGACGTCGTGGAGCGATCTTCGAGCAACTCGTGGCCTGCGTCCTGACCCATCTTAGGGCTCTCTTACCTTTGGAAGAGTTACGCGGGAGGTCACGACCGCTTTGGGAACTTCTGCGTTGTGGGCCCTATTCGGGCGTTGCGTAATGGGGGACGGTGAAAGAGGTGGTGAAGAAAGGTGCACTTTGGTGCCCTAAAGGGACCCTACAGGGGGCGCCCTGAGGCCAACAAGGGGCACGAAATGTACACGTCTCTTCGCCCATCGCCCCCCATTAAGCAACGCTCAAACCTATACTCCACACAGATGGATACAGATGGCTCGAAGCAGCTGAGGACGCTCCAGTTCGTGCTTCGAGGAACGCTTGCCGATTCTGGCATGATATTACAAAACCCGCGTGATATCACACGACCAGAAGCTACAACTCTGGTAGGCTCCCACCCAAAGCTATTGGTGTAAATCGATAGCAAAGGCAGCATGAGGGCTGCAGTGAGTGGCGCCTACGGATGCCTCTTCCCTCAGCCTCTCTTCCTCCTCTTCTTGCGATATCGAAATGTAGTATCACATTTAATCCTCCCCCGTGTTGAATGAGAGCCCGAGAGCACGTCCTGCCCGTGCGCCAGAGAAGTAGCCCGTGCGATAGAGAACCAGCCCGCGCGACAGACTTCCCGTGCCAGAGAGACCGCCCGTGCGACACAAGCCACCCGTGCGAGTAGCGCAGTCAGTAGACAAGCATTTTGTCTTGGCAGAGCTGTGATCCCAACAGCAGTGAGTGCAAGCACCGTGTGGGAATGTCTCCTTCCTCCTGCGGAGCGTGGTGCTGCCGTGGCAGATGCATGGTTGGTTGTTTCTTCTTCCGACTTCCGATGTTGTATAAGATTTGTCGATTGCGGCTACATCATTTCAGGCACGGAGCAGACAAGGACTGTCGTTGCGTCCGTAACCACCTAGGTTTAAGCTTCAGGGCGCCACACCAGTGCAGAAAAATACAGCCCGTCATTTTCACAGCCCTGTTTGTTCGTCATACATACCGTTACAATTACAATATCGCCGCACAGCGGTTGCAACTCCCATCCGATCATATTGGGTTTTCAAGTCTGATGCAGTCTTGCTGCGACTGCAAATCCGTTTGGATCCGATGCGAGTTGGGTATGGATCTATTCGACTCATAAGTGAACTCGCCACGGCCTTTGGTATAGATGCTCTGCTCCGACTGGGCCTACAGCTCGAATAGCATCACGTTGGAGCTACACTTGATAGGGCCTTACTAGAGCTGCGATCCCATCGAATTTTGGCTACACTTGTGAAACAGCCAGGCGAGTGGCAGTTGCAACACGTGTATCATCGCTTCACGGCTGTAATACCACCAATTCCCATGTATTTCATTCTCGCCTCATCCGTCCCTGTGGGAGGCGACCCTTCTCCTGATGGGCCTGTTTTCCACCACCACCACCACCACCACCATAAGTTGGAGGGGGGAAGGAGGTGGAGGATGAGGAGGAGAACGTGGAGGAGGAGGAGGAGGACCCCCTCCCCCTCCAACTTGTGGTGGTGGTGGTGGTTGGAAACAAGCCCATCATCTCCAGCACTGGGAGGCGAGTCTCGCTGCCATCCGGCGCTGGCCGCCGGAGGCGTAATTCGTAACCCGGCAGGGGTCACAGCCTACAGCTCACCCCGCCCGTGTTTCACGACGCTGCAAACCGTCGGCGGCGCGCGGAAGGGGCGGGGCGACGTCGTCGACGACGCAGTCGGCCGGGAGGTTTTCTAGCGTCCCTGGGGTCCAGGCCTCCTAGATGGGGTCGGAGCAGATGGGGTTTGAGGAACGCGCCCCACCGCCGATGCATCGCCGATGCGGCTCAATGTGCAGCCCGATTTGTGTCAAGTCGACGTCGCCGATGCATCGACGATGTATCGCCGATGTATCTGCGATGCGCAGCGATCCTCCGACCCCATCTACTCCGACCCCATCTAGGAGGCCTCTATGAGATGCTCGGTCTTTGTCGTCACGGGTGGTCGTGGCTCGGAAAACGGTTCAGGGCAGTCCCAAAGAAGGGGTTCCGTGGACAAGTTGTCAACGGAGTTTGGTCCTGGATGTGGTACGGGGGCGGCCTGTCGCGAAGGCGTGAGGACCTGTCAGAGGTTGCGTTCAGCTGGTGTTGACTCCGCCGTGGTCATTTCTTTCAACACATGCCCGCCTCATGCGCCCGGAGGCGCCAGGAAAGCCAGCTGCACGCAGTTGATTCGCGAAACCCCTTTTTCCCCCTCGCGTCCATCCTGGCAGAAACCCCTTGCATTCTCAGGCTGCACCACTTCGCCCGAGCCCCTTGGCGCGCCACCAAACTTAGATGTCTGAGCTCGCGGCTGTGCCTCCGAAGGCGTCCCGGCGAAAGGATCGGCCCGCCAGGGGGGGCGCGGCAGACAGAAGCCCTTATTTGCGGCGTGCCTTCGAAGGCGTGCCGACTAGACATCCAGGCACGCAGCGAGGACGCATTAAACAGAAGGAGCAGGGGGGTGAGCACGGAAGAAAAGAGGAGGAGAATTTAGAAAAGAGGAGGAGAGGAAGCGGGGAGAGGGGAGGAAGAGGAGAGAAAGGAGCAGGATGATGAGAAGGGGGAGGAGGAGGGACGGAGGGACGAGGAGGAGGAGGAGGAGGAGGAGGAGAACAAAAAAAATGGAGGAGGAAGCGGAGGAGGATCAGCACGAGGGTCCGGCAGCCTATGCCTCGGTCTGGCGGTCTGCGGCGACAGCGCGTGGGGTTGGGAAACAATCCCCGTGTCCCGCACTCCTTTTGTGGTCCACGCGTATTTCTTGGATCGGCGCGGGGCCCCCCTGGCGGCGCCTCCAGCGCCGATCCAAGAAACCCGCTCGGACCTCCACAACTCATGTTCATGCCGTTGCTGGTTCCTTCGGCTGTGGAACGGCCTCCCAGGGCGACCAGATGGGCACGTGTCGAGCAGGTGCGCAGCCAGGATGGATGTAGCCGATTGCGCAGGGCCCATATGCCTTCTCTCACGGGCGTGTTGCATCGTGGAGTGACAGAGGCCGCAATCATAGGCTTGGATCCCCCCGCCGTGCCACTCGCCGCTCGCGCCTTGGCGCGCCCTCCAGGTGCGAAGGGAAGAGTGCCGAGGCGCTCCGTGGCACGACGTGGCACGGTCCTGCCTGCGGTTCAGTCGCAGCGCGCTTGGGAAACGTTGCGGACACAGGCGTAATGCGGGACGGGGAGAGACACAGGCCTTCCCCGCATGAGAACGCGCATGCTTGGCCGCTGCATGCTTCCCTCGGATGCTCGACCTCTGTATGCCGCGTGCTGGTCGTCGTTGCCTGCCCCCCACCCTGGATTTCACGGCTTCGCCGAACGCGTCCGGCACACGCTCGCAAATTATGTTGATGCATCCCGTTAGTGTGTTACGCGCCCGTGATTCTGCAGATTGTTGCGCGCGGGGGAGGAACAACGGAATAGTTGGAGAAGGAAGACGATCGATCGATCAAGTATTCCACTGGTGAGTGGGTCGTTCGTGCGGTAGTTTGGTTGGATCGCCAGTTATCGACGTGCCCGCTCTATCAGCCCATCTTTCTTTCGAAGGGCGGCGATGGACATGAATACTGTCTCGTCCCAGCCGCTTTGCAAAGTCGCCAAGGGCATCATGTAGCATGGGAAGCGACGGCATGCAACAGGCATGGCAGGAGGACGTGATTTTCCATGTCCAAGGGCCATGCATGTTGCGAGTTCCATCCGCTTGTAATCTCTCACCGTGGAGGTTGGTTGGCGCGGGTGCTGCAGGAGGGAAATACAGCGACGTCCCACGTCTGAGACGCGTGTTGTGGGGATTTTTCCCCATATCCAAAGTGGGATTCTTGTTTTCTTTGCGCACACCCCGCGCAGGAACACAGGAACACACGAACACACCCTCTCCTCTTCTCTAATCGCACACTGATACATTCAACCAGTCACACGCGTCATCACTCACACTCAGTCACTCACCCATCCACTCACCCACTCACACACCCACTCACACACTCATCATCATTACTCACTCATGCACCGACCCACTCACTCGTTTACCTGTCCATTCACTCACTCACACTCATCATCATCATCATCATCATCATCATCATCATCATCATTATTATTATTATCGTCACTGTCGTCATCATGGTCATTATCATCATCATCATCATCATCATCATCATCATCATCATCATCATCATCATCAGCAGCATCACCGTCATCATCATCATCATCATCAGCAGTATCATCTTCGCTCACGCACTCACTCATTCACAGACTCACTCACTCATCTCAGGCGGGAGCCTCGTCTGTGGGTGAATTGCGAGGAAGTCTGAGGCGAGAGCCCCCTCCCTATGGAGCCCGCATCTCATGTTTGTAATCCGAGCGGGTCATCGGAAACTTGTAATTGTCTTCCTTTTTGGGCTCCAGGGGCTTGAACTTGCAGGAAGTATCAGGCAGGAACCCCGTCTATGAGTGAATTGCGAGGAAGTTTCAGGCGGGAGCCTCCTCTATATGGGGCCCGCGGCGCACGTTTGTAATCCGAGCGGGCGATCGGAAACCTATACCTGTCATTATGTTTTGGCCCCCTGGGGCCTGAATGCGGAGGAAGTATCAGGCGGGAACCCCGTTTGCGCGTGAATTGCGAAGGAGCCTCAGGCGGGAACCCCCTCCCTATGGGGCCCGCAACTCATGTTTGCAATCCGAGCGGGTCATCGGAAATTTGTAATTGGCGTCACTTTTGGCCCCCCCCCTGAATATGGAGGAAGTATCAGGCAGGAGCCTTGTCGATGCGCGAATTGCGAGGAAGTGTCAGGCGGAAACCTCTTCCTTGTGGAGCCCGCAGCTCATGTTTGTAATCTGGGCGCTTGGGATCCCCAGGCTTGGATATGGAGGAAGTCTGAGGCGGCATTCTCGTTTGTGAATGAGTTGCACGGGAGCCCTGTTGGGGGCCGCCCGGGGAGCTATTTGGCTTTTGGCCTCATGGCACTATGCGAGGCGAGGGCGTTTGGCCTCGTCAGGCATGCGAACCTCTGGCCGCCCCCGCTTTCTACCGCAGGGAATCTGGCTGCAGGTGCACGGCTTCAAGGAGTCCCGGATGTACCAGGAGGTCGCCGAGTTGCTGCTACAGTACGCCGAAGGCGCAGACGACGACGGCGAGCCCGAGGCGCGGGCGCGGAGCTTGCCGATGTTCAGGCCCAGCGAGCAGGAGCTCACGTGGCAGAGCTCGGGGCCGCACGCCGCGCGCCGTTCGGGATTCACCGCGACGCACGCGGCCTACCTCGCCTCCACGCTGTCGCAGGGCCAGACGCCGCGCGAGGGCGCCACCATCGACTGCGCGAGAGACGAGGGCGCTGGCCGCACGGACGCGTCGGACGACCAGCGGTGGCTGCATCTCTACGTCGCGGTCTCCCGCGCCACGCGCATGCGGAACGCGCTGATCCTGCGGCCGCCGCCGCGAGAGTCTATGGAGCGCGGGCCGCCGGCGCCCGCGCGGCAGGCGCCCCTGGAGTTCGACGTCAGAGCGGAGAGCACCAGGGCAGAGAAGCAGAGCCGCTCGCGGCGGTGCTGGGATTCGCGCTGCCCCCCGCCTGAGCGCGGCGGCGCCCCGCTCGAAGCCCGCGGGGTCGCCCCGGCGGCTTGGTCTCGCGCGCCAGCGGCTCGCGGGCCTGCCCCGGCGGCCTGGCCCGCGGGCGCGCCCCAACGGCTGCGCATCGCGGGCGCGCCCGCGCTGGCCGAGGCGGCGACGGCGCCGAGGCAAATAAACTTGCGCGCTCGCGCCAAGAGGAAGGAGATAACGCGAGGAGAGCGGGCGGGGGGGGCGGGGGCTGGAACGCCGCGGCGCAGGGGCGTCGCGCTCCGGCCTCAGGTCGCGCAGGCCGATGATTTCGAGGGGCGCGCTTTACGGGCAGCGATTCGTTGCCCTCCCCGGGAAAAGCGATACGCTCGACCGAGCGTTGTTTTGGCCGCGTACCCAACCAATCTGCAACATGTGCCCAGTCAAGAATGGCCGAATTCCACGCGAAGGACGAAATCACAGCGAACGCGTTCTGTTGTGACTTTCGAATGGGAAGTGCACGCCTTGCGCGATTCACGTGGCGGGCTTAATGCGGCAGCATTTCACGATGCTGCACTGCCAGAGAGTAGGTCGGCGATGTCTCGTTCTGAAATGGGTAGGACCGCAGGGCGTGGAACCCGCCAGGAGCCCGCGAACCTCTGGTGTCGGCGCGGGTTCGGCTGGCACGTCCTCGCAAGTTGCCCGGCGTTCTATGCTTCCGCCGCGATGCCGCCTGACGGGTGCGAGCTACGGGGTGTCAGCCATGCGGTGCAAACTATGCGGCGCCATTGATTTCTTCCAAACGGAGAAAAATGTTGACGAATTCCATGCCCTTGCAAACATCCCACCCGCCCACGCGCAATTTGATTTGCAAACCCCATGCGGCGGCGATTGCGATGAGTGGTTGGCGTTGGTTGCGCCAGCCCGCGCACGCTCGCGCGCGCAGCCGCCAGCTAGTTTGGCGCGACCGACGCGGCCGCGGTGGCGTTGACCGCTGGGCACTTCCCAGCGGGCATTTCAATGCGAGTCGGCGGCCTGGGCGGGCGCGGTATCATGGCGACGCCGACAACAGTAGACACAGGTGGCGACGACGACGGCTGGTGACGCCGCTGGCGACGACGACGGCAAGGCCCGCGACGGCGCCGATGTTGTTCGCGCCCGCCGATGACGATGACGATGTCTTCGCGTCGGCGATGAAGATTTTTGAAGGAGTTCGACGTGCGCGCGCGGCCGACGCGCGCGAGTGGCCCGCGTGGTTTTATTTGACACGGATCGCGCGCCCCCTCTCAGCACGCGCGCAAGGGCGTTCGAATGAGTTTGGCATGCGGCGCGCGAGGCACGCGTGAACGAATCCGAGGACAACTTAAGAATCCGCAAGACCACGAGCGCAGGCCCTTGTTGAAAATAGCTGTTGCACAACAGTTTGTTATTGCATGTTTCCGGGACTCGTTTTTGAAACCCCCGCGAAACCTAAGGTGTTTGAAGGATGTTGGCGTACGCGCGCGACGACGCGCGCGCGTCGTCCCATTTGTTGCAAGGGCTTTTGCGACAGCACGCGAGCTAGGGCGTTCGAGTAATTTCGACATGCGCGCGCGAGAGGCGCGGTTTGTATAATGTTCCATAATTCGTTGTTTGTTTAAAGAATTCGCAAGAGGGCGGGCGCAGTTTGTTGCTTTTGTTTGAAAGCCCGCGTTTTAAAACCGCGTGTTTGTATATGTTGTCGCGATTGATTCTCGGTTTCGAAATCTTTACGCGACGTTGGGTGTTTTTGAAAATATTTTGGCATGCGCGCCCGACGACGCGCGCGTGTGCAGTTTGCTTTTTGTCCGCATACGGATTTTCAAAAGCGTACGGTGTTTGATCAACGAGTGCGCGCGCATACCGTTTGTTGCAAAGGATGAGGGGGGCGTGTTCCGACGTGATCGGGATAGTCTGAGCTCTTAGTTCCGATGAACGATGGGGCAGAACCATACACAACATAGAAAGCGAATAAGGTAGATTGTTAACCCCGGGACGGGGTCGATTTTTTGACATGAAAATGCATATGGTTTTCGCCAGGTGGCGCAAACCTCCATCGCCCCGCCTTCAGTAAAAGTCGGATCGCTGCAAGTTGACACCGGCTCGTAGAACACCGTTTGGGGAAATTGTTCCCGAGCCCGTAATCCCATCCACGGAGCACCCACACTACTGTGTTTGACTTTGTTTTTGAGCTGTCCAGACCTCGCCGTTGTTCTGCGATTGTTGCGACAGCTTGCAGAATGGAGGCGCGATGGTTCAGCAGTAGTCGGTGGTGGATCTTGGGTGTGGTTCCAGCCATGGCGATTGAAGACTGCACTTGTCTGTCAAGGCGCAGTCGGCAGTCGGCAGGAGGAGCAGAGGAGCTATCACGTCGCAAGATGGTGCGACGATGTACGAGGCCATGCTTTGCATCGCCTCGATTGGCGCGCATCCTCGCTTCTGCGACGTGTTCCCAGCCCCATGCGTTGCTACTCCGGCTCAAACAAGACAGGGGCTACGTTCTACCCAGCCAGCCCGTTACGTCTAGAAGCAGAACGTGTTCACCACGTTGACGACGGTTTCTTCGCAGAGACGGTTGACACATGGTTGCCTTGGCACATGACCATACGGAAGTGATGTCCATGTTCTTGCTCAATCATTTTACGCACGATACAAAAGAAGCGGGGCAAGTGCGTTTTGTCATTTTTCCAATGTTTACGCATTCTGACTCGAGGCCATCGTTTTCACAGTAGGATGTCTGACTTGTTCAGTCATGTGGTCGTGCGTGGTTTGACTATTGCCGTGGCACGTGACTTAGCTCAAAGCTATGTTAAAGCCACCCGTGTTGCACGAGTCATGCTCTATGGTTTGACCTTCAGAGTGTTAAACGACGGATGTTGGGCTTCTGCCGCATGTGTCAGAAAGTGTTGATTGTTAGGACGTCTACATCAGAGCGCTTGAAGCATACGTTTCCGTTTGAATATGTCTTTTCTTTTTGTCAGATGATCGCAAGTTGTGTCTGCGATGTTTGATAGCGGCGATGTGACGTGTGCGACGATCCAGGTTCTGCGTCGACTTCTGCCTTCCAGCAACCAACATTACGACCTACCCACCGAGGCAGTCAAGTTTGCTCGTTGCTCTCGCCGTGTCTGCATTGATGTGTTAGAAATGTCAAGAAGTGTGTGTGTGTGTTGGTCGTTTACGATCGGACAGAGAAGCAGCAAATAGCGCTGTAATGAATCAATGAGCTCAGCATGAGGTGCGTGGAACATTGCAGAGTTTCTGTACGCTGGTCAAAACGTATTCGCTGTATGTCGCACGACATGACCACACATTTCGGCATTTCCGTGAAAATGTTTGAGTCGTGTCTTGTAGAGTTTGTGGATTGTGTATCGTCCGTAGCTCCCGGGGATCGTTTCGGGCTTGAAGTAAACAGTGACTCACGATTGTGGTTTCCCCAAGTCCGTGCAAACGGATCATGTCGGATTGAGGGGGCCCTGCTCCCCCAAATCAGTTTCAAGTCGCGTGCGTGGTGATTGCTTTGTTATTCTCCGTCCAGCCAGGGGTGGCGGGGGGCGGTGGGGTCTGGCTTGGGGGCTCGTGGCGTCGTGGGGGCATGTGTAGCTAGATCCTTATGTCAGTGTTGTACCCAGGTCGCGCAGAAAGCTCGTGGCGTTCTCTCTAAATCAATTGTTGTTCGCAGTCCCCGAGCCCACAACAGCCTCTCACATGCCGTTCTGGCCAGGCTTTGAGAACTCTCTGGCTTGACAGGGGAGGGGAGGGGAGGGGAGGGACTCAAAACAGCTGAATACCTTTACCCTGACTTGTGCTTGCTCTGTTGGTGCAGGGCTGCCTGGGGCTGGCTGTGTAGTATCGCTTTCAAGCTTTGGGCTACACGCACAAGGTATATGCCTGCGCGTGGTGGCCGCATGGTGCGAAATGTCGCACGGCTTGTCGCCGAGCCGTCCGAGGGAATGCTCCCCACGACTCGCCGGCCCGCTGGTCCGTTCCACGACTCACCGCGTTGGTTCGTTTCGAATACTCCAGAGCCGAGCAGGAGTAGGAGGAGCAGGAGAGGATTCCGAGTAGAATGATGAGGAACAGGAACGGGAAGAAAACAGGAGCCATCGCTCTAGAGGTAGCTGCCCAGACAAGTGATCACTGCGCCGCAGCCTGACCAGAGTGGCCTGCATGGCGCAGCGGCGCCTCCAGCTGCGCAGAAAGGACGAGGATCAGGATCTATCTCGGGATCCCGCTTCGGCGGCACGGCGAGGGAGAAGGGCAGAGGGGGCGGGCCTTCTCAGAAAGCTCGGAATGCATCCAGCCCTCCGAGAAGCTTTCTGGGCCACAGGGCTTCTCAGAATGCCAGAGGGCTTCTGAGAAGCCCTACCGCCTTTGCGGGGCCTGCCCTCTCTCACTTCCCCCCTCGGCGCGCCGCCGACCAGGCCCGACCGAGGTGACGGCCGCCCGTGGCCCCTCCCGGGCCTGTCCTTGCCCTGGCTTTCCTGGGGCCCAGGGCGGAAGCCGAGCGCCACATCCCCGAGAGGAGGAGGACGAGGACGAGAAGGACGCTGAGGAGGAGGAGGAGGACGAGGAAAGAGGAGAAGGAGGACGAGGAAAGAGGAGGAGGAGGACGAGGAAAGAGGAGGAGGAGGAGGAGGAGGAGGAGGAGAGAGGAGGAGAGATGAGGAGGAGGAGGAGGAGGAGAGGAGGAGGAGAGAGGAGAGGAGGAGGAGGAGGAGGAGGAGGAGGAGGAGGAGGAGGAGGAGGAGGAGGAGGAGGAGGGAGAGGAGGAGGAGGAGGAGGAGGAGGAGGAGGAGGAGGAGGAGGAGGAGGAGGAGGAGGAGGAGGAGGAGGAGGGAGGAGGGGAGGAGGAGGGGAGGGAGGGAGGAGGGAGGAGGGAGGAGGGAGGAGGGAGGAGGGAGGAGGGAGGAGGGAGGAGAGGAGGAGGAGGAGGAGGAGGAGGAGGAGGAGGAGGAGGGAGGAGGAGGAGGAGGAGGAGGAGGAGGAGGAGGAGGGAGGAGGGAGGGAGGAGGAGGGAGGAGGGAGGAGGGAGGAGGGAGGAGGGAGGAGGGAGGAGGGAGGAGGAGAGGAGGAGGAGGAGGAGGAGGAGGAGGAGGAGGAGGAGGAGGAGGAGGAGGAGGAGGAGGAGGAGGGCGTGCACACCACGAGAGACGACGAGGGCGAGGAGGAGGAGCAGCAGGAGGAGGAGGAGGAGGAGGGACGGGGGGTAGGATGTGTCCTCAGGCTGCCTGGGAGACTTGAACATGCGTCAGGAGGCAGCTACGAAGATGGCGAGGAGGAGGAGCGACGACGACGAGGACGACGACGGTGGCGGAGGGGGGGGGGCGGCCCCCGCCGACCTGCGCGGCCAGATGGCGTGCTCTGCAGCCTTCTCGGCGCTTGTGCTGATGCTGGCAGCCTCCGTAGCATTCACAGCGGAGGGGGCGGGGCAGGGACGCGCCGCCTCCACCACCGCCCTCCCCGCCACCCCCCTCCCGAGCTCGGGGGGAGGGCGTCGACGCTTGCCCGCCGCGCCACGAGGGGGGAGCCCGTTCCGTCCTCCTTCCTCCGTCGCGAGGGAGGAGGAAAGGAGGGGGAGGACGACGACCACCATCACCACGGGACAAGGAGAAAGAGTGAGAAGGAGGAGGAGGAGGAGGAGGAAAATGGAGGATGGAGGAGGAGGAGGAGGGGAGGAGGACGAGGGAGGATGAGGAGAAGTGGGGAGGAGGAGGAGGACGAGGATGAGGAGGAGAAGGTCCAGAGTAAACCCAAGACTCATCAACGATATTGGCATGAACCCTCCCTCCAAGCTCCCTCTTCATAGACCCCTACAGGGATTTCCACAAAGGGAAGTGCCCCGTTGGAAAACAACCGTTTGAAAGTCCGGAACTGTGGCAGAAAACAATTCCTGGGATGTGAACGCCACGAGTCACCGTCATTGTTGCTTCTTGACGATCCTGAACCGTGCCAGAGCACTACGCCCGTGACTTCAGCACCGCGAATCAACGTGACTGTTGCGCCTTGACTGTCCGACATCGTGCCGAAACGCAAGTTTTGGGCCGCGAGCCATAAGAACTTTTGAAGCTGCTGCAAACTCTCAAAAACGAATGTGCGCGGCGCTGAAGCGAGAGCCACATTTTGAAGAGGGACCGCCCTCCACCCGTGAATCTCTTGCAGACTCAAGGTGAATGTGCGCGGCGACAAGGCGCGAGCAACATTTTGAAGAAGAACCGCCCTCCACCCGTGAATCCCTTGCAGTTTTTAAGACGAATGTGCGCGGCGACCAGGCGCGAGTCACATGTTGCAAACGGCCCGGCCTCCATGCAAACTCTTAAGACGAATACGTGCGGCAATAAGGCGAGAGCCACATTTTGAAAACGGCCCGACTTCAATCCGCGAAAGTCATGCAATGTTTAAGGACGAACGTGTGCGGCACCAAGGCGAGAGCCACATTTTGAAAATGGCTTGCCTTCAACACGCAAAGCTGATGCAAATGTTTGAAACGAGTCTGCGCGGCGCGAAGGCGAGAGCCACATTTTGAAAGCCACCCGCCCTCCATCCGTGAAACTGTTGCAAATTTCAAGCTTCAGGTCATAAGTGATGGGAAAGTCTCAGGCGAAGCGCTCAGCCCGCCCTCCCGACCGGCCTCGGGGCGCTCTCGTAAGGAGGAGGAGTGAAGCAGATCTGGACCTCGGCGATCGACCGGCGCGTCCGAGGGAGTCGCATCATGCGAGCATCCACGTTACACCGCCTTTTCTGCTCTGTAGCGGGCAGAAGGGGGTAGAGGGGGGCGGTCGAGGTCAGTTTGAGGATCAGGATGGAGGAGGAACAGGAGGAGAATTCAGGACGTGTGTTTGGGTCCCTTTTGGTCTGGTAAGGCTTCGGGCTGCAGAAAGACAGCCCCCCCAGGCAGCCCCAACCGGCCTCAACATGCCCCCCGAGTAGTCTGAGGTCGGGGGTTGCTAATGGTGCCCTTTGCCCAAGATGCCCCCAGCTTTTCGCTCAATTGTGGAGCCCGTAGGACCCCCTGGGCCTCGTGAGGGGTGCTCTGGAGGCCGTCGGGGCCTCCTTGGAAATCCTGGGGGCACCTTGGGCCAGGGGCACTTCTTCAAGCAGTGGCGAAGCGTCCTGGCTCGCCTATAGGCCTATAGGCCCACCAAAGAGTGGTCTAAGAACCTGTTGTGGTCTTCGCGAAGGGTTCTTAGAACATTTCTGGCCGAGACTGTCTTGCTTTAACACAGCGGACGAACGTTCTTAGAACATTCATGGGTTCTAAGAACATCTCGTGGTAGGACCGTAGGACTGCCGGGACGGTCGGTCCCTGCTCAACTTCTAGCAGCACCCGATGAGGCGGTTTCAGCACCTTGGCGCCGCCTCCAGCCGCGCCCTCGGGGCGCTCCGCGCTCCAGGGTTGGGGACTGCTCGGGAGCCCGTCGTGGCCAGCGGGGACTGCCTCGGGGGGCCGTGTGTGCGCAGGCGGCCCCTTCCGTCATTGCCTCTTCGGCCCCTGCTTGGTCTAGCGCGCCTACCAGGGAGCTGGGAACACATGGCGCGCCCGGCATGGGCGAGGGCTCGGCAAGCACATGGCCAGACGTCTTTCCAGCGCCCGGCCCATGGCCGCGCAGGCTGGGTTTCCGCAAGTTTGTCCAGCACGTGGCCTCTAGATGTTTCGCGTGTGGATCCATCCGTGTGTGTGTGTTGCCTATCCGCCAGCGCAGTCGACCTCTGCCCAGCCGCCGACGCAAAACATGTGCGTGTGTGTGTGCGAATGTGTGAAAGGGTGTGGGTGTGGGTTGGGTGTGGGTGTATGCGTGGGCGTCGAGGTGGGCGTGGGCGTGGGGGTGGGGGAGGGCGTGTGCGTGTGCGTGTGCGTGTGCGTGTGCGTGTGCGTGTGCGTGTGCGTGTGCGTGTGCGTGTGCGTGTGCGTGTGCGTGTG